ATGCTGTGCCCCTTTGCCCCTTTGGCAAGGGCACAACTATCTGGTTCACACCATCCCACCCAGAATCAGCTGCTAAGAGTGGTGACCATCAGCAAGACATCCTTATCTAAGAAATAAGTGACTTTTTCCCCACTTGCTTTCTTGTTGTCACCTACCACTTTGGCGAAACATGGTTGTAATGTTGGGTCAGTTCTCTGCTGAAACTATGCTGAATTACTCTGTATGATCTCTATGGAAATGCTCTGACTAACTCCAGCAGCGACTTGGATTACTCTGATGATGCTATTTATAATGGATCAATAGTCACATATTGTGTCTGATATTTGAAATGTGATGTATTCACAGCTATTCTTAAAGTCTTCAGTGTCTGAATAAAACCCACTCCAATGAAAAATCTTGTTGCAGTAAAACTTTTAATTACATTTTAAACATTCTTATCAATTTAAGAATTTTATTTATTTTTGAAAACTATGCTGAATGAAGTTTTAATATAATGTCCAATTTCTTTTGATTCAGCTAATGCATTGGTGTGCGTGTGTGCGTGTGTGTGTGTGTGTGTGTGTGTGTGTGTCCTCAGTGAAGTGTATCAGTCTCTGCAGTAGCTTCCAGCTGCAGCAGTCAGTTCAGTTTCTGTTCAGTCTGACTGAGGGAGGTTTTTGTACGACGCTTTTACACTGTGTGAACAACCACTGACTGTTGATAATATGGAGACTCTGACAGTAGTAAACTGCTGCATCTTCAGTCTGGACTCCACTGATGGTCAGAGTGAAGTCAGAGTTTGATCCACTGCCTGTAAAACGATCTGGAATCCTGATGCACGAGTGCTAGCAAAGTAAATGAGGAGTTTAGGAGTTTCTCCATCTCTCTGTTGGTACCAGGCTAAAAGTGGTAGCTATTATAATGAACATTCTGACTGGTCCTACATCTGATGGAGACGGAGCCTCCCAGAGCAGAGCTCACTGCTCCAGGCTGAGTCACTGTGACCTGGCCTCTGGACTCTGAGGATACAGAGACAAACACATAAAGCAGCGTCATGGTTTTGTGGGCTTCATTTCAGAGGGACGGATGTTCATAGAGGAGAGGAGTTTGATTCTCTGGACTTTACCTGTGAAGCAGCAGCAGAGGAGAGTCCAGATGAGGACGCAGATCAAAGTCATGTTTTTGATGAGGAGGATTTCTGTGGCTTCTGTTGTCATGAAGGACAGCTGTCAGTCATCCAGTGTTCAACTCTCAGGACTATAAACTCTCCCAGAGCACTGGAGCATGGTGCTGCTGATGCAAAGTGGCTCTCTATGGAAATGCTCTGACTGACTCCAGCAGGGACTTGAATTATTCTGATTTTTATCAATGGGTCAATCACTTTTCTTAGAGTATTGATAATATTTTAAAAAAAACTCTTTTATATGATTTTGGTTTTATTTTGTTTAAAATATAATAATAAGTTATTTCAGTTAATTGAAAATGTAAATTTAATTTAAAATGAACTAGTGCTGGGCAACGATTAAATTTTTTAATTACAATTAATCGCATGATTTTCTTGAAAATTAAATGATGAATTCTAAAGTTGTGTATTGCTTGACTTAAATGTACTGCTACATACACAAAAATGCATTAACATGTGGTTCGCAAAGAGCTTTTTACCAGCAGTATTCCCTTTACACAGCAGCAATAAAATATTTCTTGTAAATCTCAACTTAAACATTAATGTAATCAAATAAATATTAAACCACAGCTATTTACCACTGCCAGGGAATTACCTTTTATCTAGCTTGTTAAAACAAGTTACCATCAGAGTCCAGTTTTCTTGGGATTGGGAACATAGAAACAGTCTATGTTCAGTAGAAAGTGTCCCTGTTACAGTGAGGTGAAGTGGTTGAGCACAAGGTGTACTGGGGTTCCCGTGAAACTGTCGTGGTCGCCTCACGCACACGCCCGCCTGCTGCTAAAGTTGAATTGTCTTGAATTTTTGTACGCGACACGCAGCACAATCATTGGAAGAGAGACTGATCCTCGCTGTTTGTGAGTTTCCAGGATCTGAATAGTTATCAGGACATCAACAGGATGGAATTCACATGGCAGAGCATCCTCGCAAAACTAAATGCAGGCCTATCAGGTAAAGTTAGCCTGTGTATAATTTTAATTTAAGTTAAAGGCTGGGGCTGTGTAGCGCACAGAGGCCGTTGCCATGGTTACTATCCATAGAGCGCCGGCCGTTCACTCGCAGAGAGCTGTCTCCCTGTCTGTTCACCTGAGAGAACCTGCTGAAGCCTCTCCGCTGCTTGTTTGGGTTATTTTGCAGGCTGATCAACATCCCACCTCTCCTGTGACCCATGGTTTGATTGTAGGCCTATGTGTATTCAGAGCCAGTGAGCAACGGACTTTCAAAATAATAATTTTAAAAAACTGTCGCCGTTAATTAATGAATACTTTAATGCGATAATAATACGTTAACGTGCCCAGCCGTAAAATTAACATGTTAAATTAAAAAAGTCATATTTTCACATGTCAGCTGATAAAATGTTACAAACAGAAACTATTTTTGGTGAGTTTGTTTGTGTCAAAGTCAGAGAGCCGTGTCTCTCTACAGTGAGAGGTTTTTGTACGGCGGAGTTTGTATCACTGTGGGAAACGTTCGGTGGAGGAACCAGACTGGATGTTGGAAGTAAGTTTCTGCTCAAATACTAAATACAATATTATAAAGTCCTGCTTTAAATTCAACTTTTGAAAGTTTAAGACAGATAAATAGATATTGATTTAATTATAAAACTCTTATTGTTCATGTTTTTATTTCTCTTCCTTTACCATGGAGGCTAACTCAGAGCAGCTTAACTAAACTGTTCTTCACACAGTCCTGTCAAAATGAAATGTAATCAATTTGGAAGTGGAGAAAATATAAAACTTTAATCTTAATGTAAAAATATTTACATTAGTTAATTTTAAAATGTTCACCACAATAATGGCTGTTGTGATTAAATACAATTCACTTTCTTCATGTAAAATTGAAGTAAAGATAAATATGGGTGTTTTAAAAATGTTGCCTATTGTTATGGATTTGGAAAAAGAATACAGTATTTCCATATTAATCGTGAAAGGACAACTGGCACTACTTTCAACACAGTGGTCAGTGTATCTGTCAGTAAGTGAAGTGATACAGCTGAGCAGTGATACCTGACTGAATTTGCACTTGAAAAGTAATGATGTTTAAACTGTATCTAGTGGTTCAACTCATCATTATAGCTGTTAATGTAAGTGAAGAAACACTTTGAAATCCAGATGAAGAACATCTGATTGTTGTCAGTTAATTTCTATTTTGGCTTTCACTGAATAAATTATTGTACAGTCAAGTTTTTGATGATCTTGATAAGAAAGTTTGTTATTTATTTCCAGTGTAGTTTGATATATTTCAGGTCGTTCTGTATGATGATTCTCTCTGTGCTGATTTGCATGAGAGGCTTCTTAAAGGGAAGTGAAACAATGTGTGAGTGAGTGACTGGTGGAGCAGAAAAACCATCTGACAGAAACTCCTTAAAGGAGAAAATCAGCTCTCACACAGTAAAGGTGTCCTCTAAGCTGATTGGTGTCTCCTAGGTGATGTCCGTCCCACCCTGACGGTGCTGCCCCCCTCCAGTGAGGAGCTGCAGCAGGGGAAGGCCACGCTCATGTGCCTGGCCAACAAGGGCTTCCCCTCAGACTGGAGTCTGGCCTGGAAGGTGGACTGCAGCAGCAGCAGCAGCAGCTGGGAGGAGAGCAGGAGCCCCGGGGTGCTGGAGAAGGACGGCCGCTACAGCTGGAGCAGCACCCTGAGGCTCCCTGCAGACCAGTGGAGGAAGGTGGGGTCTGTGACCTGTGAGGCCACCCAGGGCTCCCAGGCTCTGGTCTCAGAGACACTGAGGAGAGACCAGTGTTCCCAGTCCTGATCTGACTCACTGGACTCTGCTACTGGTTTTACTCTGCTCTCTGAACTCTGTAACTCTCTCTGTGTCTGTGTCTCTTTCTTTCCGTAAGTCATTCTTTAATCACGTTTCATGGTTAAAGTTTGTGTACTGGATTTAATTTGGATTATTTCAACACAATAAAGACCAGTTCATTCAAATTTGTTGTTTTCATTTCTGTTATAGTGACTGTACTCTGTTACTCATCAGATCATATTAACAATATTCAAATTTAAGTAGTGAAGCTTCATTGATGCAATAATGCTCATGCTGTTAACACTGTAAGAAAATAAAAAAAGTTATTTCAAATTAAATAATATTTCATGATAGTTTTATTTTTTACCAACAAAGATGCATTTTCCTTCATTTTATCAGTGCAGGATTATATCTGAGGTAATTTCTTCTTCTCCTTGAGTACCACCTTACAGAGTCTCTGTTTAGCAGAGACACTGTAAAGTTTCTCTTTATAGCTGCATTAAGAGAACTTTCTAAATGCAGGTATAAACAAGGTGTGAATGAAAGAATGAAAGCGGGTGTTTTCATGAATTCATTTAAAATGTAGTTTGTACAAATCTACATTACTCAATACGTTTCAAGGATTAAAAATGAAATTAAAGTACTTTCAACATGAGATGGTTCTTATCTCAGATTTTCAAACCAAAGATTTTATGTCAGTGTTGCATATACCACACAGTGACACATTGGTCTATTCTGATGGAGCATGCAGGGTGAAACAGTAAACACAAATATCAAATTTCCATCACATACTCCTCCCTTGTGAGCATTCTTTGATCACTCAAGAATATACAGCATTACAAAAAGATCATCAGGTCATAGAAAGGCATCATGATGTAATCTACACCAGTTTAACCAAGACAACGAATCTGGGTCCTTCCTTTCATCACAGTTCTGCTGCTGCAGCAATGGCATGTTCACTTGTTCATGGAGTGTGATCATTTGAATAGACACACATTTATCAATAGCTCTTACAGTCAAACCTCTGGCACATGGAATAATGCAACATCCACAGAGAGGTAACAGCGCTACAGCAATCATTAGGCCTGCTAGTATGGGCATCACTAAGGCTTTTTATTTAGCAAATACAGAATCAGACCAGTCAAACATATTAGTGTCCACTTCAGAGTTCTCTGCAAGTTCTTCTCGTAGCGAACGCATTCCTTCCAGCACTGGGGTCACCGAACCATCTGGAGCTGTATTGTTGGGCACAAACGTGCAAGAGGAGTTATTAAAATTATCCAAGCATCCCAGCCTCTTTGGGTGCTTCTCTTGCCTCTAACACTGCTATGTGATGTCAATGCCTGTGTGTAGTTCACTGTGGTGTTCTGTTGTGGTGGCTTTTGTGCATCATGCTTGTGATCTAAGAACTGCAACAGAGGCACTGTTAATGCTATTGCAATGGCAGCAAACATCTGTGTTGTTCCTCGTAGGCCCACACATGTCTGGGTGTCTGACTGGGTCCCATGGATGTCTCCTTCCAGAGACAAACATGCTACTCACTCTTAAATCAGCAGTGGTGAGACCAGGAGTTTTCCCACTAGCTCCCTTGTGTTGATGTTTGCTGTCTAACAGCCTGTGAGTCCGAGACAAAGGGTGCCTAAGCGTTCCCAATCCCTCCTTCACTCACAACACAAGGTCAGGGAAAACAGTGGTTCAGTTGCTGATTGTGCACGCTTGTTGATCTGTTACTGTTCTGGTGCAGGCACCTTCCTGCAGTGGCTGGTATGTATCCATGTAGCTCTTTCAGCCTCCACAACCACCACAAAACCTCCTGGCGGGAGACTGCATCGGCTTTGTTGCTGGAAAGAGAAAAACTTCTTCTTTGCTTGGGTTTAGCTAAAAACCTCCCTCATAAGGTGGTTAAACGGTTCATCTGGTGGTGGATGTGCTGCTAATGAAACCTGTAATCCCCTCCCTGTGTTGTGTCTTAGGCAGATTGAGCATGTTTGACAAAAGTTGTGAGGGTGTGTTGTGAAACCTTTCATGAACCAGTGTCTTGCTTCACCACAATATTTCATTAGTGATACAGTTACAGTTTTACAACACCAGCACTCTGTAGTTTTCTAGTAAGGCTAAACTAAAAAGGAAGAAGAAGAATTGGTTAGTGTTAGATATTAGGCTCTGGCCGCTGCTCCTGTTTAGGAGAGGGAAAACTTTCAACAATGACAACAAGACAGTAATTCTCACGTGATGTTAGTTCAATCAATTATATGATCACATCCCTCATTTCGCTGTAAATAAAACAAATTATGGCACGTTATTCTGGGTGACACTCTGCTCTGTGTGTGTAAAACAGCCTCTCTGAATGAGTTTCAACCTTGAGCTTCCAGGCTGTCTGATAACACATCTCACACACAGACTTGTTGTTCACATTACATTCCATCTCTAACACTGAGCGACTTAGATTTGCATTCAGTTCCCCCTTTTCTCTGTGGAGGAGAGTGCATGGGCAAAACTCCGGACCATGTTTAAAAAAAGGGATTTAAACAATAACATCAAACAACAAGGAACGAGCAGGCAGCAGTCTTTTCCTGTAAAAATGGCGTCAATCTGTTAGTGTGCATCACATTTTATCATCAACACAGCAGCAGCACACAAAGAAACATCCAGCATAACATAAAAGCAACAGACACAGCAAGCAACATGACAATAAGCACCGGGCATCTGGTCTGCTTCCAAGATGTAGTGTCAAAACAGGTCATGTGATCGTCCTTTGGTCAGCAGCCTAAGTAAAAACGTAGGTCATGTGTTTGTAGTACCTGAGTACAGGCAGACTATAGAGAGCCATTTCAGTCAGTGAGGCTCTGTCAGCTCAGCTTCGTCAGTTCAAGTTAGTCAAGTGCACTGTTAGTCTACCATGAATCATGAGAGAGAGATTTATCTCTCTGTTCATCTTTTTTAGTAATAGGATCTCTTGTCCATAAAATCATCATCACCTCTTTATGGTGATTGGTTCTGGAACAGATGAAAAGGCTTGAATGCATTGGAGAGAGAGCTTTACTCTCATTGTGATCGCATTCCCAGATAAGTTATTCTGTCTATTCGAATTGCAATTAGAGACAGACAGACTAACCATGTGTGAGGCCATTGTGGGCGAACCGCTTTAGCAACACAATGGTCATCTCAGCATGCTGTGTGTGATGGACTGCAGAACGGAAACCGACCAGCCGCGTGGGAAATAAGATTTTAAAAACAGACGTTTGCCAAATCACCAACAGAGAAATGTGTAGTCTTTGATGTAAAGCTGTGAAACCTGCACTGCTCACTGGTGCACTAATGCATTTACCACCACTCTGTTGCTCTGTTGGTTGGCCTTCAGCACAATCTTTTTGAAAATGTGGGTGCGTACAGGTCACTCCAGCCTGTAGCAGTGAACAAAAAGAAAACATGTTTAATATTTCCAAGCGCTTCTTTTTTTAGTAAATGTTATTTCACACATAAATCAAATCAAACTTTGTGTTAACTATAGCTATAGACTCTCATTCAATTTGCACCTCAGACATGAGGTCACTACGGTGGCCTGTAGGTTACAGGCCTAATACAAAAGCCACAACACGAACACAAACACCACAACACAAATACAATTAAAGCTGCAAGCAGCGTTGGGCGGGCCCTCGCACGTGTAGCGTGTTGGTGTGTGAGGCGGCCGTGTTGCATATTCTGGATCTCTGCCGGTGCAGCTGTGAATTTGCTACGCGCTTCCGACGCTGCATGAAGGTGTTTTACGTCACTTCCTGTGTCCCCTTTGTGGCACTACATAGCACTTGGCGCTATGAATATAAATTAATATTGGCGTGTGGGTGTCTTCGGGGTGGAACAGTTATCAAGCACGTAAAGTTTTGTTCAGATGTGAGCATGTATACTGAAGTTACAACAACTTCCTGTGTCATGGCGAAGAGTTGATCTTTGACGCCACGCCACGGACACGCCCATCGACGAAAACTCACAGATAGCACAACTTTCCCTGCCGCCGCTCGACTGCAGTAATGTTTACGTTTATCTTGTGGGGAGCCCCTCACCTAACACAGCTCAGGCTTGTCTCTTCCTCCATTTGTGCATCAGAAAGTACAACTACCATCCAGCATTTTGGCAATGCAAAAGTAAAAAACTCATAGTAACAGTGGATCACTTGCTTCCTGGCAGTGGAAAATAACGTCTTTTTTGTCCTCCAAGGGAGCGTTTTTCATGGAATGTGACGTCACGTGAAAACTATGAATAGGGGGCGCTGCAGCACCTCCGCACCCCTTTGTATAAGTATAAAGTCATCTCCATGGTAACCTGAGACTCCTTGCTTTTTGTTTATGACGCTAATCTGCACAGACAGCTGTTTAATTCACACAAATATCCTGCTGTATATTATTTGACCAGAACAGAAGTATTACTTATTTATCAAACGGGTAAGAAGTTCTTCTTCCACGTAGGCCTACATTTACTAATTTGGCAGACACTATTATGCGGGAAAAAGTCACAGGAAGAAGAAAGTTCTTTCTAAAATTTGAACCCAGACCTCTTGAATGTGGAACAGCTACATAGTCGCTGTACTACTGTGTAGCTGTGTTCTGCAGACAGTAATCCACTGTTACTAAGCGTCTCTTTCGTTGTCAACTTCCATTGTGGCTTTTTTGTTCGTGTTGTGGCTTTTTTGTTCGTGTTGTGGCTTTTTTGTTCGTGTTGTGGGATTTGTGTTCGTGTTGTGGCTTTTGTATTAGGCCTGAAACCTACAGGCCACCATAGGTCACAGTTTAATGTTTTAACCAGTGTACTCAGATTCCAACTTATGGGCCTGTTGTCAGTCAGCCAACTCCGGGCGGAATTGCATCCCCAAATCCATCCGTTTCCAAATCACTTTGCTTCGCCATGTGTATATGTCCCCCTTGGTACTGCTAAGATCAGAGAAGGAGAAAAAGAAACAAAACAACAGCGCAGAGCTCCTTGATCCAGATATTGAAATAATTCTCTCTCTCTCTTTTTTCACTGTCCCTGTTCCATAAATAATTAAAAATTGTTGCATCCTGTCCATCAGAACTGTGTACTGTGCAGTGTAATGAGTCTATGTGCATGTATCCAAAGGTCTCTTAGTGTGTGTGTGTGTGTGTGTGTGTGTGACATGGGGGTCACTCATTCAGTGCTCTGATAACTGAAATAAGTGTTTAACAACTATGTCATCAAAATTCATTATTATGATACCTTATATGCAATACCTGCCGCTCTGTTGGGCTGTTTTCAACATATCATGTAGCAATATTATCCCCTGCTGGGGTTAAATTTACTAACAGATACTTTGGCAGTTTCCTAAACTCTTTGTGGTTATCATTCATCACCAATGTAGGCTGTTCAAGCTCATCAGCATTTACTAATAAATTAATATAGTATTACTTTGTTTTTTTACCTTCAATGTGCTTAAGATTTTATTTTTCTGTGAGAAATTGTGACTCACCCAGTGTGTGTGTGTCCCAGTTGTTTCCTGTCACTAGCGTCCGTCCCGCCCCCTCCAGCTCAGTCCATTTGGATCTGTTTTGTATCTGTCCAGACAATCATTGTGTACCAATGTCCATTTTTGTCCACCGGTCTCACCTACTGTCCGTTTTCTCGTACTGTGATTGGTTAGTACAGAGTTCTTCAGCCCCTTTTGATGGCTATTTTATCACTTTGTCCTCTTTGTATAGATCTTCAGCTTGCAAAACAAAGGAAAACTTACAAAATGACATTTCTTATTATTGTAACCTCTCAGTGTGTTTCAGTAAAATGTAACTTTACAACTTTTAACTGCATGAGTTTCATTCTAATTAAAGTACATTTACATACATTACATTACAGTATGGTTATGTTTTTGAAATATCTAGTGTTATGGTTTCTGTGCAGCTGGTGATTCAGATCAGTTCCTCTCCAGCTGAGGGAAGATTTTGTACGATGTTGTATCACTGTATGAATGGGAAGCTGTGACCACCCTGGTGACAGTAATAAACTCCCGCATCTTCAGTCTGGACTCCACTGATGGTCAAAGTGAAGTCAGTTCCAGACTGACTCCCACTGAAACGATCTGAAACTCCAGACTGACGGGTTGTAGCATAACTAATCAAAAGTTCAGCAGATTCTCCAGGTTTCTGAAGGTACCAGTGAAGGTAGTTACTCATACTTGAACTGGCTTTACATCTGAGAGAGACAGTCTGTCCTGGAACAACAGACTGAGCTCCAGGAGACTGAGTCAGTCTCCTGATGAATCTGGAAAACATGAAAAAGAGGAGAAGGGTTATTGAGACAAATCCAGTTTGGAGAAAGATGATCAACATCCAAACAGAAGAGTCTCATTTCTTTAACATGGAGAACAGATGGAAGAAGGTAAATGCTGCTTGTTTCAGTGTTTCTCCATCACAGCAGAACATCATTGTGGTGAACCTGGTTGCATCCTGAAGCAAAGTTTTCAGAAGAGAGTCTCACCCTGAACAAGGAGCCCCAGGGTGGCCAGCAGTAGAATCAGTGACATCATCATTGTGCTGCCGGCGTGTCAGTGGCTCTGAAAGGCCTGGACAGCCACTGATCAACACTGGCCTCTTAACGGCTGGGAGCAGAGAGGCAGGACACATATGCAAACACACAGAGTCAGTGAGCTGTAGCTGTCCTCAACATATCATGGTGTTTCCCCCTCAGTGCTGAGAGCGTTGATCTACATATTTACATATTTACATGTAGAGGATATTGAAAACTCTGGTGGTAAAAAGATCCATTGCTGTTTTGGTTTGTCTACCTAGTTTGGGAAAAGTTTTTTTTTCACAATGATTAGTGACATTAATATTCATCTTTAGGTGTCTTTAATGTTGAGATTTCATCATGTAAAGCAGTGTTGGGTGTTCATGATCATGCAATGTAATTGAAAGCTCAACAACAGTTCGTGGATGGATGTGCAAAGATTATTTAACTGTAGTGTACTGCAACAATTTTAATTTAAACATCTAATTTGACTTGGAATATAGAAAAGGGAGTCTTCATCATTACCTCTTCTTGCATGGAGTCATATAGTGTTGGAATCCCGGGCAGGAAACCTATCGCGAGAAATGCATAATGCTGTACTGCAAGCTACCTCACTAATCTCAGTATGGATATCATGACAGAGATTGCAAAGAGACCAAAGAAGAAATTATTGGAGGAAGAGGGGATGAGAAGAAGAAAGTGTGACAGAGCACGAGACAGACAAGAGTAAATATCAGACTGGCTTTTTTTTTGTTGGCGTGAGCTAAAGGAGCTAAAGTTCTCGCTGTAATTGATGTTACTTTGTTTGCTCTGTCCTGTGTTGTCGCTGTTGCTTGATGTTCGGCTGTGTTAGCAAAGCTGTTGACATTAATGATGTAATGTAATCAGAGCAAATACATGAACAGGCGTCCGTATACAACAGTGTCATGTAAGTGAATAGTACTCTTAAAACCGGGAGCCAATTTTGATTATAAAGTTTTCTGATGCTGATCTGTGTCTTCATATTTTGTTTTATTTGGAAAAAAGTTGAAGTTACTGTGCGCGTGCCGTTTACTCACGGAGTGCTGTCTCATCAGACAGGTACTACGTTATGATATTAAGAATGTTTCTAAGACCGAAATCTTCCCCCAATAGTAATCAGCATGCAGTGTGTAGCTATCCACTTTTTAATTTGATGGCTTGTCTTTCATTTGTTTGTCTACTTCTCCCACACGCTGCATCCAGTCTGCTGAAGTCTCCCTCCACTGCTTATTTGTGTGGGTGATTTGCAGGCTGATCAACATCCCGCCCCTCCTGTGACCCATGGTTTGACTGTACGTCTACGTTCAGAGCCAGTGAGAGACAGACTTTTTAAAAACTGCTTTACATGCGATAAAATAATTGTCAGTGATAATTGATTAATGCGTTAACGCTGTTTGTGAGTCCTCAGTGAAGTGTGTAAGGGATTATAATGTGATATAAATGTATAGAGAAGAGACGTGCTGGAAAATGTAATTTGACTAAATATATTTTTTGATGATCAAGAGTTTCTTGATCAGTTCAGTTCCTGTTCAGTCTGACTGAGGGAGGTTTTTGTACGATGCTTTTTCACTGTGTGAACACATTCTGACTGTTGATCCAATGATAACTCTGACAGTAGTAAACTGCTGCATCTTCAGTCTGGACTCCACTGATGGTCAGAGTGAAGTCAGAGTTTGATCCACTGCCTGTAAAACGACCTGGAATCCCTGATGCTCGAGTGCTAGCAAGGTAAATGAGGAGTTTGGGAGTTTCTCCATCTCTCTGTTGGTACCAGGCTAAAAGGTGGTAGTTGCTCAAAACACCAACATCCTGACTGGTCCTACATCTGATGGAGACGGAGCCTCCCAGAGCAGAGCTCACTGCTCCAGGCTGAGTCACTGAGACCTGGCCTCTGGACTCTGAGGATACAGAGACAAAAACATAAAGCAGCGTCATGGTTTTGTGGGCTTCATTTCAGAGGGACGGATGTTCATAGAGGAGAGGAGTTTGATTCTCTGGACTTTACCTGTGAAGCAGCAGCAGAGGAGAGTCCAGATGAGGACGCAGATCAAAGTCATGTTTTTGATGAGGAGGATTTCTGTGGCTTCTGTTGTCATGAAGGACAGCTGTCAGTCATCCAGTGTTCAACTCTCAGGACTATAAACTCTCCCAGAGCACTGGAGCATGGTGCTGCTGATGCAAAGTGGCTCTCTATGGAAATTACTTAATTTGTCTTCTTAAAAATAATACTATAGTAAGTATTATATCCTCATAACATCCATTTCTTCCAGCACAAATAATCTCTTCAGCAGCCATATTACTGCGTAATGTACACAATGTAACTGTGTATGATAGACAACAGCGGCATCATTAGTGTAGGAAAATGTTGATTTTTATTTCTTCACCGGCAGGACTGGCAAAACATACACAAAACTGCTCGTCAAGCGGCACCAGGAACACACACTTTTTCCGACCAGGGCTACGTCTAACAACAGCAACTTCTTCTAATGTGGCTTTTTGACATATGTCACAGCTTATCCTGCCCCCTACTAGCATTGCAAGGAAACATTACTGAACAAGCATTCCAGTATACTAGGCTATTAAAACAACTTGCTACATTAGAGTAACTGGCATGTATTACACACAAAAAAACACATTATCAGGTGCCACATTCCTCCCCTGTAAAATCAATGTAGTCCTCAACATAAGCATTCATTACATTTACCATACAACATTAACCATGTAGCGGCAGGGCAACAACCACTTCATAACTTTTAACATTTAAGATACTTCTCTGGGTTAAACCTCTAACTCAGTGGCAATAGCTTTCTTTGAAAGTTGAAATCCAGTAAATGGCCTTAAATGCTTTTCCCCAGGTGTTACCATCAGAGTAAATTACTACATACCATATGATCGCTTTATGATGCAAGTTCAGCAGAGTTAACCATGAGCAGTTGCAACAATAGTACAGTATATTGTTCACCTGAAGCAAGGACATTCACTTTACTCTGGAGACTTCTGACTTACTGAATATACTGAAAACATTCCATTTACTTTATTTCATTGCCATACTTAGTCCCAAACCATTTAGCTTATGACTAGAATTTACTTTCAGTTCCTTGACAAATGTAAGTAAAATGTTTGTTTGTTTGTATCCCACGGGCACAAGAGTAGGATAAACCAAATGTGTTTCTACCAAAAAGCAAATAGAAAGGATAGAATAGAAAAGGCCTTTTCTGGATATTACACTTACAAACCTGGGTTATAAAAAAACTCAATGACCTTTTGCATACCAGGCCAATAAAACTTCTGTCTAGCCGCCTGTAAAACCTGTTCCACCCCCATGTGACCCATTTCACAGTGAAGGTACTTGTACACCAGTTCTTTGTACTTGTTTGGCAGCACAATTTGAGTACAGGTTTTGCGTTTCAACAGCCCCTCTTGTGAAACATGCAGTCTTTTCCACTCGCGCAACAGTTGCTTAATGTTCACTCCCATATTTCTGACCCTACTGTCTGGTTTTCCTCCAGACTTTTTCAGCTGGAGTACATGGGATATGGTAGGGTCTTGCAACTGTCCCTGTAGCAGCTCTTGCTGAGTTATTTGTATGTCCGACACAATGTTTGTAAGTACCTCCTGAACGTGTGGGCTGCAGGTAAAGACGGAGATCCAGTCCACTTCGTGCTGGTTCTGTGTTTCAACTGCACCGAATATTGCACCTAGAACTTTAGGGGAGCACTGCTCTGTACACTCACTCATATAAGAGTCCATACTCACAGGTCTACGGGACAAGAAATCTGCATCTGTGTTTGTTTTTCCTGGACGGTACTTCAGTGTTACTTCAGTGTTATGTTGAAGTCGGCCAACTCCGACACCCAGCGATGTCCAGTCGTGTTCAGTTTAGCTGTTCTCAAGACTTAAGTGACAGGATTGGTAGCACTGTATACTGTTACAGAGGGAGCGTAAAACAAATAGCCTCTAAACATGTCCGTCACAGCCCACTTAAGTGCCAAAAAAAAGGTCTTTCCTGAATGTAATCGATTTTTTCTGATGGTGTCAAAGTTCGTAAGCCGTACCCAATAACTCTGAGTTTGCCTTCCTGCCTCTGGTACAGGACTGCTCCCAGTCCTTGTTCAGAAGCGTGGATCCTCAAACCTTGGATAAGCCATTACAGGTGGGTTAGTCAGAATGTCAACTATATAGTTCAAAGCTTTTTGATGAGTGTCAGTCCACACTATTCTGATGTGGAGGGGGCTGTCCTGCCCTCGCTGACTGACATTTAGACTTCGACTTAGAACTTGAAGTTACATCTGTTGAGAGCAAGTCACACGGGCATTTTGCATGACGAGAGAAATCTTGTACATAACTTCTATAGTACCCCAGGAAACCCAGAAATTTGCGCAGCTCTTTAATGTTTGTAGGGGGGTTGCCTTTAGAGCTTGCACTGCCACTATTTCCTTATTGTCCATGCTGTAACCTTCAGCTGAGATTACTTTTCCCACATAGCGTACCTCATTTTTGAACAGGTCACATGTCACATGTCACTTGTCTGGCCTCAGCTTAATTCCCCACATTTGTGGCGTTTGAAAACACTGTAGGCCAAAACATCATCTAAGTATG